ATCAGAAATTCCTTCACAATGGAAATCGTTTACAAACCAGCAGTTCCCCCTTTACCCTGTTCCATACGGGAATGTGCATAATCCTGACATTGCCATTCAGAAGAGATTTGGAAGAGTCACTCTGAAGGCTGAGGAATAGTTGTCTTGCTGCCATTTTAGGCTTACCTATTTGACTTCTTTAGCCTTTGTCTGTCTAGTCCTACCTACATGACTCCTTTCATCTGAGGATATCAGTGCTTCATCCAGGAACCGCTCACCTTCTCAAATATTTAACTTCTTGGTGCCCAAATCTCTCAAAATAAAATGACTAAAATGGCTTCATGGGGAGTCATGTTCATTATGGTTCTGACTTCCATATCAAAATGTGCTCAATTCATACGTAAGAGGTTTTTCCTCCCCTAAGAGTTGGCACTGCAAATTCGCCCTGGGACATGAAAGTTATTTGCGTGTATCCATCGCAAAACGATTCAGTGAGTGCCCCCAGTTAAACCTGGGCAACCAGGCTGAAAACAATGGGGTGGCCCAACTGGAACCGAGGGCAGATATTGGCCCTGCAACCGGAATGCAGTTAATTCTGCTGAGGCAGAACAGAATCTAGTTCACTTTCCCATAGTACTGAAGAGCCACAACAGCTAACGGGAGTAATCAGAAAAAAGTAGTCTTTGCTCCACGAGTAAGCAGATATAATACACAGCAGTTTTTGTCCATTAACTGCACTTCAACATCAGCTGGCCCACCAGCTTTGAACCTTATGTCCGACTCTATCTAGCAACTATGTCCCACTTCTTTAAAACCCATAACACAACAAACAGTTGCAGTCTCCTTTATTCTTCACTGGGTTAAAGACCAGTGACGTTTTCCTGAGGTACAGGTGACAAGGCTATCAGAACTTTAGTGAAGATTGCTCTCTACAAGTGTATTTGGAGTTAGGAAATACCATAACAGCCAAAAAAGTGAGAAGTCTCACACGTGGAAAGTTCTCCTCAGGAAATACTTGAGACTCACTGTTCCTTATGAACACAGTAACAGGGCAGTAAGCGTCACACAACAGAAAATGCCTCGCAGCATAAGCAGTGTCAGCAAGCAACAGAAACAGAGTGAATGCTGAGCGCCCTCAATACTACTCAAGGTACAAAAGCAAAAAGCAAATGTTAGTGAAGCAATGAATCTAATCAACAAGGGTAAAGGCTTACAGAAGTGACCTGTACTGGTCCTAGCCTGAAGAAAACATGCCACCTATTCTCACAGAAAGAAGTGCAATGGAGAGATTTAACCTTCCAGAAAAAGCTGATCAGTCCATGTCAGGTGCACCAAGGTCAACAATCAGCATCCCCATTCCAGAACACTCCACCACGACAGTAATGCTTTGTATCAATAGCTATTTTCCTGCCCTCCCTCATGGAAATAAGCCTCCTTGACAGGAATAAGCTGAAGCAATGTTTATCAAACAAGAGAGTCTGTGGACATCAATAGAACGATGTCAATCAGACCCATGGAAAGGTCACTAGGTGTAGCAATTCATGCAAATATCCTGCAAGTCAGATATTTTGTCTGACAAGTTGTCTCAGCCTGCCGGTGAAGTCTGTGTGTTTCGTGAACCACACACTTATGGCAACTAGGTAGGAAAAGAGACAGCAGTTTTGCAGTCTGCTGGGACTGGCAGAGGTTGCTTCTTCACAATCTTCATTTTTTCCCCAGCTACTGTACTGAATTTATTTTTCTTGCATGCATGAATTTTTTCTCTTGGTGCAATTTGAATAAGGTTGCCAGGTGTCTGGTTTTTGACCAGAACGCCCAGTCAAAAAGGGACCCTGGGGGCTCCGGTGAGCACTGCTGACCGGGCCGTTAAAAGTCCGGTCAGCAGCACAGCGCGACAAGGCAGGCTCCCTGCCTGCTGTGGCTCTGCAAGGCTCCCAGAAGCAGCGGCATATCCCCCCACTGGCTTCAACGCATAGGAGCAGCCAGGGGTCTCAGCATGCTGCCCTCTGCCACAAGTGCCGGATCTGCAGCTCCCATTGGCCGGGAACTGTGGCCAATGGAAACTGCGGGGTCGGTGCCTGCAGACAGCAGTGTGCAGAGCCGCCTGGCCACGCCTCTGCGTAGGAGTCGGGGGGGGGGGGGGGGGCAGCGGCGGACATGCTGGTGCTTCCAGGAGCTGCTTGAGGTAAGTGCCGCCTGGAGCCTGCACCCCTGACCCCCTCCCGTGTCGCAACCCCCTGCCCCAGCCCTGATCCCCCTCCCGCCCTCCGAACCCCTCAGTCCCAGCCCAGAGCACCCTCCTGCACCCCAAACCCCTCATCCCAGCCCCACCCCAGAGCCTGCACCCCCAGCCATAGCCCTCACACACACACACCCCAGCCCCAGCCTGGTAAAAATGAGTGAGTGACGATGGGGACAGATGGAGGGGGGATGGAGTGAGCGGGGGGCGAGGCCTCGGAGAAGGGGCAGGGCAGGGGTTGGGCCTCAGAGGAGGGGGGCAGGGGGCAAGGCAAGGGTGTTCGGTTTTGTGCGAGTAGAAAGTTGGCAACCCTAAGTGTGAAGGTTGTTGAAGTGTCTAACATTCACTACCACAGTTGGGAAGTCTTGCTGTGCTACATTTTATATCTCTTTCTTTATTATTAGGCACACTGCCCTGCTTCACAACTGGAACCAGGATTTCTCGCAGAAAAGTTTTCAGTGGCAGTAACACAGGAATTTTCACTCTATATCAGGGGTCAGCAACCTTTCAGAAGTGGTGTGCCGAATCTTCATTTATTCACTCTAATTTAAGGTTTCGCGTGCCAGTAATACATTTTAACATTTTTAGAAGGTCTCTTTCTCTAAGTCTATAATATATAACTAAACTATTGTTGTATATAAAGTAAATAAGGTTTTTAAAATGTTTAAGAAGCTTTATTTAAAATTAAATTAAAATGCAGAGCCCCCTGGACTGGTAGCCAGGACCCGGGCAGTGTGAGTGCCACTGAAAATCAGCTTGCGTGCCGCCTTCGACACGTGTGCCACAGGTTGCCTATCCCTGCTCCATATTAACCATATTTTTAGCCTGTGAAAGAAATTTAGTATAACTAATTCCCAAAAAAGATACCCAGTCAAGATGGACTTTAAGCCACACACACACACACACACACACACACACACACACACACACACACACATTTTGTTCTGAGATTCTTAAAACTATTTTTGTGAGAAGCTCTAACTTCATCGCTTTCAAGAGGCCTTCAAAATTTGGCAAGGATAAAACACTAGGGGCAGGGAAGTGCCTTTTCTTTGTCCCATGAATTCCCATTTAAGTTTGGCAGAGAGATAAGCTTTTGAAAGTCGCCATTACCTTTCTGATGTGTGTCATCAGCATGCCAAAATCACTTAACATGGACATTTTAATGTAAGGCCAGGTCAGTGCTGTCACCACAGCAGTGCCACACACTGCACTAGGAACCGTGGAAACAGATGTCTTCCGGAAAGCGTAGGAGAGGAAAGAGCTAAGCTTTTCCACACTTAGCTGGATCCCCAAGACAAAGCCAACAAGTACAATGTGCACAGACTACTAAAATCTGCCCTTGTCTCTGGAGGTCTGGTCAGCCAACATCAACGTCCATGGTGCAACAGCCACAAGCTATCCAACACTTACTAACCACCGACCATCTAACAACCCTTAGGGGAGATGTGGATAAAAATCTCCACAAATCCCTGCAGCCATCAAGAGAAAGTTCCTACACACACAGCTAACCACAGAATGGAATGAACTGGGGTGGTTGGCACCAGACAGCCCTTTTATAACCTCATGTCTGAACATTTGTTGTTGAGAGAGAGGCACTGCTTTCTAAAGGTTCACGAAATCCAGTAGCCCTCAGGAGAATGGGGGGTTGCATACTGCTTGAGGGAAAATACAGAAGCTACCTCAAGGAAGAAGGTGACCACTCTGACAAAGCCAGCATAGCTTGAAAGGTCTTGATCTGGACAGACGTCTAAGTCTGGGTATAAGGCTAATGCCAGCTCTGTGGCACAAGGAGCTTGCCTGGTACTTGCCTTCCAAAGTCTCACTTCTCAAACATACTGTGCTTAAACCTGAAACTTTTCCTAAACACGACTGTCAAAGTAACATGCAAAATTTCAGACAGGTCTCTTTTTTTAAGGGATCAAGGAGAGGTTAAAACTGGAGTTATAATAGAAAGCCAGTTGCAGCCTTAACTATAGCATCATTAGTGTGACTCAAACACAAACACATCAAGGGGCAGGAACGAGGAAGAAAAGCTATTTAAGCTAAAGGACTATGTTGGTAACAAAAACAAATGAGTATAACTGGCCATGAATAAATTCAGGCTGGAAATTAGAAGGTTTCTAACTATGAGAAGTGACTGTCTGGAAAACCTTCCAATGGGAGCAGTGGGGATGGGCAACCTACAACTAGTTTTAAGAATGAGCTTGATAAATTTATGAACAGGATAATATGATGGTTTGCCCATGAAAGCAGGGGACTGGACTTAATGACCCAGGAAGTCCATTCCCTGTCCTATGTTCCTGATAACCTTGCAGAATGTACTTTACAGGCACCATCTCAGTACAATGGGAAGAAGGGAGAAATCAGCTGGGATACCACACAGTAGCATACTCTTAATATGCAGTATTGTGTTAGCAAAGCAATGTGCAAGAAACCTGTCCTACACAGCAACAACTGATACTACTAGACACATGGTGGCATCCTAGAGAATTCGTCTGAATAAAAAAACCATTGTGAGTCAACTGAAGGGAATCAATTCTCCAGCCAGACCAAATCTCTACAATCAGAAATTACATGGACTGACAGGAAGGTGACAAAGTGACTTCTTTAGGAATTGCAGATTAATGATATAAAAGCTTGATTATCCAAAGCAAACAACAGACCTATTGAAAGATTCTCATTTAATACATGTAAATTCTGAAGTTAGGGTTTTTAGCAAAAGACTGTAGAATTGACGATACCACCATCTCTCTCTCTCTCTCTCTCTCTCTAAACCTACCCTTTTCTAAATAGGTCCTTGGTGCCCATGGAGGGTCCTCTTCAGCATAAGGATCACTGTATTCCACCACAGCTGCCTCCTCCTCTTCATAATCTTCTGGGGGTGGAGGTGGAGGTGGGGACTCATCAAAGACTGGCTCATCTACAGGTGGAGGAGGAGGGGGAGTATCTGAAACTAAAAATAAGCAGCAAGATCAACATGAAACACCGTCTAGAAATACAGTTGCAGATTAAAAGTAGTGGTCTCTATTCAAGAGCTTCCTAACTAGTTTCATGGGGACCTAACGCTAGAACTTAGAAACAGAAATACGCTAAGACACTAAGTTGGGGAGGACTCTCTTGACAAATATTTTTCATCTGGTTTGGTTTTTTCCTGTTTTATTTGAAATTCACCAAACAAAGCAAAGTATTAAAAAGCAGAATTCTGGCTACAGCTGAGGTTTTTCCACACATGAAACGAAGGCCAGACCCAATGCCCAATCATAGCAGAAGGAAGAAGTAAACTTACTATTTTCTTGAACTCTGGCCACAAATCCCATCAGTGGTAACTGTGGAGTTACCTGTAGGATGGAAGGAGGAGGAGGAGCAAGGGATACTGCAGCAAAGGAGTAAAAAAGACAAATAAATTAGAAATAAAACAACGCGACAAACAGGAAAGTCGGCATATCCATCATTCAGGCACTACAGCAACCAACCAAAGGAGGTGTGACAAAAAGGATGACATCCAAAAGAGGGAGTTTTAAGAAGAGCTTTAAGAAATATAAATATCACTTGCAGCAAGTTTTAGTTCTCTCTATTTGAAAATTCCCATGCCAGCTCCTTTTCATAACACCAAAAACTCAGTTTAAGAACTTGTTTCATTCTAACTACCATGAAGATACTTTCTTCTCTTAAACTCTATTTTTATTGGAGTTCAATATAAAACTTTATGAACAGCTCTAACAAGAGAGTTTTTCCTTTTTGGTCAACAACAGAATATTGATTTGCTGACAGTGTTCGGGTAACCATGCTGGTCTGAGGATATTGGAGTGAGAAGGTGGGTGAGGTAATATCTTCCATTGGACCACGTTCTCTTGGTGAAAGACAAGCTTTCAAGCTTAGAGAGCTGAAGATCTCTATGTAAGCTTGAAAACTTGTCTCTTTCACCAACAGAAGTTGGTCCAATAAAAGACATTACTTCACCCACTGTCTCTGTAATGCAGTGATCCCCAAACTGTGGGCCGCACCCCCCCCAAATGGGTATGGAGGAACGATGGGGGGGGGGAGCGCAGTGGGGCCTGGGGCAGCCCACATGGGGGGGAGGGAGGGACTGCCACCCAGCCACACTCTGCCCCCAGGTCTCTCCCCCGCCAAGCCCAGCTCTGCCCTCATTCCCTCTCCGCGCCCAGGCCAACTCCGCCTCTAGCCCCAGCTCCTACCCCATCCCCCATTCTGCCCCCAGCTTCACCTTCAGCCCAAGCTCCTCTGTGGAGCCAACTGTGCCGGGGAGGGGGGAGAGAACACGGACAGACTTTTTGAAGATACTTTTTGAAACAGCTCCTAAAGAATTGTATCCATAAATCTTTGACCAGAAGGGATTTATCTAGATACCCCCCAAACAACCTCAGGAAACAAGCAATTCACTTGTGTTCGGTGTGAATAAGAGAAACCGCACACATTTGGAAAATGAAGGAACCTTCAGTACTTCTCTTATAAACTTATTTTCAGGGGTCTAGATCCTCACTTTAAAATTCCCTCAAGAGAATTAACTGTAGAGGAAATATAAATTTGAGGGGGGGAGGAGAGATGAACAATTTAAATAGTTTTGTTTGAAGGCAGAGGAAAAATATATTTAATTATTTAAGATCATTTCTCCATCACCCTCCATAACTTCCTTTATTTTAATGAGAACTCTGTACTTTTTAAAGGGCTAAAAATCTGCGTGTATGGATGATCTGTGCAAAACAGTGGTGTTTTAAAAGCAGGATGGTATTAAGAGAATTTTTCTTTTTTTCTGTAAAGAAACTTGGCATTATTCTTTAATGTAGAATGTCTACACTTTTTATTTTTATTTTGCAACTGATATTTAAAATGGGTTAGTTAATATTTTGAAAGGGTTGCTATGGATTGTCAGTCAGTATCTTTTAGTGGAGATGTCAAATAGAGGTCTTGGCTATTTGTGTCATTAGAGACCCTGTTGTACTTCATAAGATTAGTCTTGACAGATAATTTTTATCTCTGTGATTGGCAACTCTTTAATGATACCTTAGGTACAAGTTATCATGACTTGATCACATTTATAATGTCCAAACAGAATAAAGTCTAAATCAGGAACATATATATTTGGTTCTTTAAAAGAGCCAGAAAGCTGAAAACAATCATGAGCCAAATCAGCCAGGAGGAAGAATTTAATCAGAAATAATTGGGAGACATTTAAGAACACTTTAGTAGATGCCCAAAAAGCCACAATCAAGGAAGACGACCATACTGGTTAAAAAAAACAATCTGGTTTAGGGAAGAAGCGAAGGCAGCTATAAAAATAGAGAGAGAGAACAACAGAAGAAAGGGGAAGTTGATAGTAACAAATACAAATCAGAAGCTAGGAGTTGTAGAAATTTGATAAGGGAAGCAAAGGGACACAAGGAGAAATCTGTGGCCAATAAGGAGTAGGTTTTTAAAGTATATTAGGAACAAAAGGTATCCTAACCATGGTATTGGTCCACTACCACATAAAAATGATAGAATCATCAATAATATTTCGGAAAAGGCAGCCAAATTTTCAATAAATATTTCTTTTCGTTATTTGAAAAAAACAGATGATGTAGTCTCATCATATGATAACACTTTTCATTCCACTAATATCTCAGAAGGATGTTAAACAGCAAATACTAAAGTTACATATTTTTAAATCAGCACATCCAGATAATTTGCATCCAAGAGTTTTAAGAGAGTAGGCCAAGGAGCTTGCTGAACCATTAAAAGTTGATTTTCAATAAGACTTGGAACACTGGGATAGTTGCAGAAGACTGGAAGAAAGCTTATGTTATTCCAGTGTTTTAAAAGGGTAAATGGGAAGACCTAGGTAATTATAGGCCTGTCAGTCTGATATCGATTCCAGGAAAGATAATGGAGTCGCGGATAAGGAACTCAACTAATAAAGACTTAAAGGAAAGCAATCACTTAATGCCAAACACCCAAAACAGAGCCTACCAAACTAACCATTTTTTTAATGAGATGACAAGTTTGATTGATAAAGATAATAGTGTTGATGTAATACACGTAGCCTTTGGTAAGGCTTGACTTGGCACCCATGACTATTTTTATTAAAAACTAGAATGAATATAATATTAACAGGGCACACATTAAATGGATTAAAAGCTTGGCTAACTGATATGTCTCAAAATGTAATTGTAAATGGGCAATAATCACTGAGCAGGCCTGTTTCTAGTGGGGTCCTACAGGGATCTGTTTTTGACCCTCCACTACTTAATTTTTTAAATCAGTGACCTGGAAGAAAACATAAAATCATCACTGATAAAGTTTGCAGATGACCCACAAACGGGGGAGGGAGGAGTTAAAATAATATTGAAGAGGACAGGTCATTAATACAGAGCAATCTGGATTGCGTGGTAAACTGGATGCAAGCAAACAATATGCATATTAATACAGTTAAATGTAAATGTACACATCTAGGAACAAAGTAGGCCATACTTACAGGATGGGGGACTCTCTCCTAGGAAGAAATAACTCTGAAAAAGATTTGGGGGTCAAAGTGGATAATCAGCTGAAACATAAGCTCCCAGTACGATGCTGTGACCAAAAGGGCTAATGTGATCCTGGGATGCATAAACAGGGGAATCACGAGTAGGAGTAGAGAGATTAATTTGCTATGTATCTGGAGCTGGTGCGACCACTGCTGGAATACTGTGTCTTGTTCTGGTGACCACAATTCAAGAAGAATCTTGCAATGGGTTCAGAGATGAGCCATGAGAATGATTAACAGATTAGAAAACCTGCCTTATAGTGACAGACTCAAGGAGCTCATCTCATCTAAGAGGTGACTTGATTAAAGTAATCGGGAACAAATATTTAATAGCGGACTCTTCAATCTAGCAGAGAAAGGTACAACATGATCTAATGGCTTGAAGCTAGACAAATTCAGACTGATAATAAGGTGTACATTTTTGACAGTGAGGGTAATTAACCATTGGAACAATTTACCCAAGGTCACGATTTTAAAAATGGTTAGTGATGGAGGATCCATCAAGATGAGGTGTTTTTCTAAAAGATATGCTCCAGGAATTATTGTGGGGAAGTTCTTTGGCCTGTGTTATACAGGATATCAGACTAGATAATCACGGTGATAGATGTGGCAATTTCCTGCAATATCCGGGACAAACCTTACTGAATTCAATTAAAATTAATTCAATGAAGTTTAAGTATTTTAGGAATTTGTTGTATTAAAAATGCAAAGTGTATGTATTCTTGTGGGATTGTATGTCACTTCTCTAGGGGGAGATGTAGCCAGTGTAAACCTTGGGAAGTGTTATGTGCTTCAAAGGACTATTTTAAACAATGCACCAGATAAACGAAGTTAAGTGGAGTTCCCACCACCTCTGGTTATGCAAAGATCCAACCTTCTGAAACTTCGCCCTGAGGAGGGGACCATTGTCTGGCTGATTACCTATTCAGGGTCTCTGCAGATCAAAGACCCAAATTGTATAAAGAAGTGAATCAGAGATACATGAGGGGGAGGGAGGGGAAAGAGGGCTTGTTCCGAGCTAACAGCTGTTTTGAACTTCTACCCACAGAAAAAATCCCTTCAATCCCTTCGTGGTGTTTGAAGAACTCATCAACTGCCAGAGTCCTTGTTGAGTTGGGGTGTTCTCTGGTAGGCTTATCAGCAGGCATATAGATTGTTCTGAGGAGCCTGGCATCTAGAGTGGGTGCCCTCACTGGACACAGAGGGGGAATACAGGTGCAGTTTCCCTGAACTGTGACAATCATAGAATCATAGAATCATAGAATATCAGGGCTGGAAGGGACCTCAGGAGGTCATCTAGTCCAACCCCCTGCTCAAAGCAGGACCAATTCCCAACTAAATCATCCCAGCCAGGGCTTTGTCAAGCCGGGCCTTAAAAACCTCCAAGGAAGGAGACTCCACCACCTCCCTAGGTAACGCATTCCAGTGCTTCACCACCCTCCTAGTGAAATAGTGTTTCCTAATATCCAACCTAGACCTCCCCCACTGCAACTTGAGACCATTGCTCCTTGTTCTGTCATCTGCCACCACTGAGAACAGCCGAGCTCCATCCTCTTTGGAACCCCCCCCTCAGGTAGTTGAAAGCAGCAATCACACTGATCCTGTCTGACCTTGGAATCTATGAAAAGACTAGGGATGTTAATACCAGCGTTCTGTACATACTCTAACTCAGGTAATTTTGTTCTATCTGAATTCCCCCCTGTAGTTGCATTTGGGCACGGTGTACTTCACTAAATATAACTGTTGGGCAATATTACTGAGTATTACTAAGCATTGGTGTCGCATCCCAGAAGCAGTTGCATTTCAGTGATGAGTGAAGTGATTGTAATGTAGGTGCCATCTTTTACTCAGTTCTCCTTCTTTCCCACAATGAAAGTGTCATAAAATCCTCTTTATCCTCAGTCAGTAATTTGCAATTAGTAGTAGTTCTTCAGAACCCAGTTTTAGACATATTTATAAAACACAAAAGACATGCTTACATCCCCACAGCCTTCCAAAAACAGCCTCACCACTGCAGCATAAAAGTTAAATAGCCTTAGTACTGCTATCCAAAAAGAAAAAGAAAAAAACATTCATGCCGAAAGCATATAAAATACATCAGAGGAAAAATGCATCAATATCCCCTGCACAAAATCCACACAATATGAAAAAAAAAAAACCAGTACTGATAATCTCCAAAGGCCTTTCCTTCACCTCCCCACCCCAAGAATCCTCTCCTCCACCTCCCCCCTCCACTGGTCTCCCCAAACTTTAAGATCTGTTCTTTCCCCCACCCTACAGTAGGGCTAAGAAGCAGCCATGGTCCCCCATCCTGCCAATGCTTCCTCCTTCTGCGAAGGGAGACCACAGCCCCCACTTGTCATATGCCCCACTTATGGATTCTAACTTTGCGAGTCCAAAGGCTCCCCTTCCCTTCCTGGGAGTCCAGATACACAGATCCTGCCTTAATACCCCTCTGAATACAACTAAGATTCCCCATTCTGCCTGGACACACATTGATTTAGAGAACATCTTCTGCTGCAGCTCCTTATTTATGCTGTGCCAAGTGTCCCTGTCACCGAAGTATTCTCTTTGTGATTTACAGTTCAAGTAAATAATCCTTTTAATCATTACTTTCTTCTCGGGTAAACAGACTGAATTATGGTTACATAATTTATTTACAGAATATCTGGCATCTTTTACAATACAATAGTGGTAACTTCCAAAGGACATTTCATTAAAAACAGAAATACAGAACAGTGGTCAAGAACTCTCTGGATATACTGAAAATCCTCTTTACTTCAGAAGGTATTTCTTTTTAGTTGTATCTGACACTATTTCCTTTACCTTCTCCCTATATCTTTTTTCACGCTTCAATCAACATGCATATAAATATACATTACAAATACTATAACTCAAGCAGATAGTATAATTTAGTCATGCATCTTCACTCCCCCACCCACCACTACCACCTCGTCCTCCTGGATTCAAATAAATGTCTCTTTGAGGCTAGCTAGCAATTAGAGATAAAATGATATGTTTGAGTTTGATCAAATCCTCTAGGCCAGATGCTGGAATCTAAGCATAATTTCAAGTTAAGTGTACAATTTAAAACTGCAGAACTGTAGAATAGCATCCCTGCACCACTTGCACATATCTAGCTTAAATATAAGAAATTTGAAAATCAATAATCTTCAAACATTCCTATTGAATCTCTCTGCATCTTCTGTATAAAGGAAAATCTGTTCTGAAGCTAAACATCTTCCCTTCTCTAATCAGAAATGTGGGCAAGAGGTCTGGTTATATGAATGGGCAGCACTTTCCTACTCAGATTCAGAACATGTCACTTCTCGTTAAGCCTCAAAATTGAGCAGATAAGAATTCAACCTTCTACTTTTAGAGAAGGGTCACCAGTTAGACGAACACTGGCATAATATGAAACTTGACTCCTGTGGCAGAGCTCCTCCTACCTGCCATATCTAGCACCAATGGCATCCTGACCCTAGATGCCTGATAAAACACACTCCGAGAGGAAGGCCGGCCTCCTAGACTGACCATTATTCAGGAGAGAAACATACAAGTCTCCAGGCTGAAGTAATGGGGAACCAGGATTCGAATAGTTCATGAAAGACCAAACACTCAATCCACACCAGGATTGGTTGGAACAACAGGGGTACTGCAGATCAAGAATGAGATCCACTGGATGAGCCGTGTAACGGGGATTGTGTGTAGTGCCTCCCTACACTGTCTTGTCAAGTCAGACACTTATTTTACAAACTCACTTCAATTAAAAATAAACTATTCTAGGCTGTTTGCATTAATGGGAACTGAACACCTTATATGTGGACAATAGCCCTACCAGGGCTACCAATACTGTTTTAGAAATCACCTAAAGAAGCACACAATCTACTGTGGAAACAGTGCAGTCTCAAACAGACTTCACAGCTTTGAAATTATGAACACGTTGGTGTTTTGGATTGGATATACTGAAGTAACCCACTTACCTGGGTTCTGGCTATAAAAAGGCCCTCCATTCATCTGGTTCTGAAGGCTCGTTTGCGAAGTGATGGAAGGAGGGCGCCTGTATGGCAAAGAGCCCCCTATTGTTGGGGGTGTATGCCGGGAGGCAGGTCTGTTCATGCTGTAGAACTGAACAGGGTGACCTGGGTTAGAAAGAAAGATGCGTTAGCAGAGAGAAAAGATTGAAGTCTGGCTTTTTTATGCCTACATTCAAGATTTATTCCAAGGATTGAATTTGGGGGGGGGGAGGGGGGAGGAACAGTAAGTCTGCATTTTAAGAGCATTTTGTTCAGTTGCCAGATCAGCTGAACTCTGAATGTCAGAGAATACTGACACAAGGAAAAATAACTCTTGCTCAACTGCTATACTTAGCACCACCAGCAAAAGCAAATACAAAAATGAGGAACTTTAGCTTTAAAATGTTAGAATTGGAGAACACTGTTTCCAGTTAGTAATATTATATGATGCTTCATAATAAATGTATATTCACGAATGGAGGTCTTTTTCAAATTGAACTAGAATTTCATTCACAAATCAGGCAGAGATTCTTCATTTCATTGTTAGCTAGCCAAGTGTCCAAATCACTCACAAGCTCCCTGCTAAGTCAACTGGAAGTCATCTCTAGGGACCACAAAGATGTTATATTCTATGACTAAAGACCACAGGCATCTGAGCTGTGTCATAGCCACAGCTCTCAGGAAATGTGTGGAGGATCATTTTGGGGGAATGAAAAAGAACAAACAGCTTGGGCAGAGGAAAGGGAATCCAGCACAATGTTCCAATGTGTTAGAAAAATTTTAATTGACTCAACCCTTCAATACCACCTCTTTATTCCAACCAATGTTACCATTGCAACACATACAATTTCTATATCAAACTGATTCAGGCATCTAGTAAATAATGTGGTGTGCTTACCTTAAACTACACCACAGAAATCACAACTAGAAGACTAGTAATTCAACTTGAATCTCATTGTCATCACACTTGAACCAGTCATAAACCATGATGTTAAGCTACCATGTGTTTACATCTAATTAAAGCTCCGAAGCACGCTATTGACACTAAGGTAAACTAGACAGTTTTCAGTTTGCATGGTTCCCCCTCCACAACATTATAGGTGAATCCCATGGTTGTAAAAAAACCCAAAGGTATCCCCTCTCCCCCCACCCCCAAAAAAACCCTCAACCCAGTGAATTTCTGTCCTTCTCTCATTTTTTGAATCTGTCACTCTGATTGATTAAAACTTTGCTTAAAGCTTTTTTTAATGTATTAGAAACATTAGGGTGCAATTTCAGTCTGAGAATGAAAGCTTTAAGCTAACAGGGAAGTGATGAGATCACAAAGGTTCGTGTTATGCCTATTAGGAAAGAGTAAGAAGGTTACAGAACTGTCCAGAAGCCTAGGGGAGGAGGAGAATGGGTAGAGTCACTGGTCGGTGGAGAGGGATGCTGCTAGTAGGTAGAGTCAGTGAAGACAGGAGGCCTGAAATTTATCCATTAAGAATCTGCATTCCTGTCTGGCTGGCTTGGCATCAGCCATGGTCTTTTTTAGCATATCTGGATTGGCCAAAATATCGTAACATGTTATTTACTTTTTCAACACTAACTCTTGTTATCTGTATCCGTGGGAAAATACAAAAGATGTAAAGTAGACGAGTAGACTGAGAATTATCGGATTCTTGTTTTACTTACAGAATTTATAACAATGTACTTGTTGTATTTAAGGACTAAATATGCTCAAAGTCAATCACACAGAATAGGTTTTGTTTCATAAAATTAGTGGCTTTTCTATTGGCCTTTTTATCCCTAGAAGGGTAAAAACAATGAGTTTCTTCAGGCTGGGGAAAATCACAACCCTGTAAAACAAAACTATTATCCTCATGCATCCTATTTCAGGGAAGTCATCTGAGCACTAGGCTAATCCAAGGAGAAAGTAGGCACCTCTTATTTTATTTCTTAACAAAGGGAAGATAGTAAATTATTTTTTTAAAATCAGATCATCTGCATTTTTATTAAAGGACTTGAGTTTTTCACTTCTGTTTCATTCTGTTTGTTTTATCAAAAATCCACAAGTAGTGCAGTTTAAGACCTAGAGACCTGTAACATTTTTCATACACCAGTGCATCAAAACCTGAAAATCAATCCAACTTCTGTCTGATCAATCTTATCTTCTAACTGCACAAATACTTCAGAGATGATGATGATTTGTTGCCACTGAGATTCATCACAGCTCAGGTGCCTCTACAGTTATTATAAGAATTCTTATATACGAGATTAGGAAATAAATGATACATGCTTAATTTTACCCTTTAACTAAAAGAATATTTTCTGGCACGTTACAACATTTCTAAATAAGCCTGAATGTAGACCAAAGTTATTAAACATCTGAACTAATACAGCTCTGTGATCAGAAGCAGAACCCATTACAATCAGCTACTGCAAATACATGTAAGCCATTTTTGATATATAAAACAGATCTTTACATAACAATACTACATCCAAATCAATCAAACAAAAGGCAATACATACTAGTCTTACATTATATTTAGTAAATAACACATGTTGAAACTTCAGCAATTAAAGAAATAAAAATGCAGAGAGGCTTTATAAATGTTAAGAAAGCAAGCTTGAGTACATGCAATATATATCACCTACTGAACAAAGTCTTTTGGCAGAAAACAACTCAATTTGTGTATTAAAACTTCCATTTCACTAGTAGTGAATCAAAAACGTATGCCTCTTTTGCAACAACTAATGGAAAGGAGAGATATTGGCTCAAGACACCTCATGGTTCTACCCTACCAAATTCACGATCCATTTTGGTCAATTTCACGGTCATCGGATTTTAAAAAATCATAAATTTCATGATTTCAGCTATTTAAATCAAAAATTTCATGGTGTTGTAATTGTAGGGATCCTGACCCAAAAAGGAGTTGTGGAGTGGGGTGGGGAGGGGGTTTGCAAGGTTATTGTAGGGGGGGTTGCGGTACTGCTACCCTTGCTGCTGCTGGAGAACGGCAGCTGCTGGCCAGGATCCCAGCTCTGAAGGCAGAGCCACCGCCAGCAGCAGTGCAGAAGTAAGGATGGCATGATATGGTATTGCCACCTTACTTCTGCGCTGCTGCTGGCGGGGCGCTGCCTTCAGAGCTGGGCGCCCGGCCAACAGCTGCCGCTCTCCGGCCACACAGCTCTGAAGGCAGTGCAGAAGTAAGGGTGGCAATACTGTGACCCCCTAAAATAACCTTGCGACCCCCTTGCAACTCCCTCTTGGGTCAGGACCCCCAATTTGAGAAACGCTGGTCTTCCCCATGAAATCTGTATAGTTATAGGGTAAAAGCACACAAAAGACCAGATTTCAGGAGGGGGAGACCAGATTTCATGGTCTGTGATGCATTTTTCATGGCCACGTATTTAGTAGGGCCCTACTCATGGGAGTCAAGTCACACAAAACCATACACATCACACACTTCATTAGAGGCACCATTTTGAATCCAACATTTGAAGAAAAACAAATTACTAGATGTCAAAAGAATTGCTGCCTTTATCCTACATACGCTTCTCTGAGAACTTACATTATCCATATTGCTGCAAGCATACAATATAGTGGTTGTTTACAGGACTAATACTCTGAATCTCCTGGAAGAACAGGTGTTTTCCGACAAAACTCATATCCAACAAAACCAAACCAGAAAAAGCCATAAAGATCAACGACTCCTAAGGATCTCTGAAAAGCCTCAGATGGTGTTCACATCTTGGTTCACCTGTCTATGAAATGGAGCAGAGACTCACCTGCTGAGGGAGTGGAAGAAACAGCAGGGGGAGTTGGAGAGGTGAAGCCATCAGCAAGAGGCTGGGCTCCTGCAGCAGCAGCATCTGGGGCAGCGGAGGGGGCAGGAGCAGGAGCAAGGGGGGAAGGAGCAGGTGCAGAGGTAGCAGGAAGGGGAGAAGTGCCAGCTGAGCCAGCGGGGGCTATGTGAAAAGAGGAGGAAGAGGTAAAGTTAATAAGGAGATCAGGTTAGCAAGGATTAGAAAAGCCTTCTGACAATTCAGTGTTAGATATTCAGTAAACGTTAAATGTTCTAGCACAAAAAGAGGGGATGAGAAAAAAATGAAGCTTATGTTAAAGGAACATTCCAATATATGCAGCAAATAAGGGTACCTGGATCAAGAAAGTCTGCTAGCAATTACAGACGTAGAAACTAACGTCTGTACTTCTCAATTAAAGTCATTACTTTAAGAAAGACTGCTTTCCCCCTCTGTTAGTTACTCTCCAATCTGTAGCACAGAACTCTGCAGCTTTTGTACAAAATTATACATATAGCAAAGGGAAACCATCAGTTTCCCATAGCAATTTTTGGCCCAGAAAAATAATTTTTCAGAACACAATTTATGCTAAATAATTTTTTCCTTCATTTCGAAGACTAAGGAAAGAAGCACACAGAAAATCCTCAACACTACATGAGCGTGAGAGTACAAATACTATTTTCTGTGAACCAAAAGTGTTTGTTTGACAGACTGCCTTTTCCATGATAATCTGCTCTGCTTTCATGTGTATACTTTACTGTGTCCTTGCCTTTTTAAAAAAATAAAAATCTAAGCTTCTAATAAACTTCTAGATGCCTACATGAACAGAAAGAAATGAAAGACCATTTATCTGGCTAAAAGGATGGAGAGACACTGTTTTCTTGGAACAATGCTGTGTCCTATCTAGTCACATCTAGTCAAAGAGCTCCTGTCTCAGCTGGCTTAAATGAATCAACAGTTTTGATTAACCAATTGACATAAAAGGCAAATAGACAGGCAAATATCTGCATAACAAACATTTCCACACTCAGGGGATATCAGTGTCCCCACATTTTAAATTATTAACACCCAAAACAATGTTAAAGTTTGTATGGTTCTGGAAAAGTTGGCTTGAAAAATTCTCTTAGAGATTCATAATCTTGCAAACACAACAGTAAATAAACTCAAACATTAGGACTTGGACAGAAAGAGAGGAAGGTGAGATTCCTATTTACCTGGATAGACGCTAGGAGGAGATGGAGTGGGGACAGCAATAGGTACACCCACACTTCCACTTCCACTGTTCTCTCGACTGCTGCTCCGACTACTTGGGTGGCTCCCTCCACTACTCCCACTGCTGCTAAAGAAACCAAAGCCACCAAAACATTAATAATCTGGTCCATAGAGAAAATACATAAAAAACATGTAGTGGAAACTTGCTACTTCACACTAATGACTGGCAGAAACGAACTGAAGTTGATATAACAAAAACATTTTTCACAAAAGCATTTAGTTTGGATCAAGAATGATCATTCCTTTGGCACTAGTAATCTAACAAGTATATATGGCATTTTGAAAAGCTAATTAACTTGACATCATTGCAATACTATAAATCATTGCTGAGTGGAGAGAGACAGCCCATTTTTGTACAGATTATATAAAGGATGTGGATTAGCAAGATTCTACTATATATGCTTCTACATTAAGTATTGTTGGGAGTAGAAGGGTTAAATCTATCAACATTTCCTGAACTCAGTAAAGTCAAGTTTTCTCGTGTTTAGAATGGATATGGTATAAAGCTATTTGCCAGCCTCCTTAAATGTTTTTAAAGAAGAATTTAACATTTCAAGAGAGACAATTTTAGCTCTCATGTGGCATCTTATACCTCTGACAATTCCTAGGACTGATGAAGTCTTCTAGTGGTCAGTGAGAGGGGAACAGTATCTTCTGTTATACATCATAACTGTGGTCCATCTCTGGGTTCAAAGCTAGTGGTTTCCTCATTTATATGTTATGATTACTTCATTTTTACAGAACTGTTTAGCACTGTTCATCCTAAAGTCTCAAGATCTTTTATTTTTCAAAAAACTTTGATTATGAAGCACAAGCAATTTGTAGTCCTCCAATAAGCATACCTCATAATTCGCACACACAAAATAATCTCCCCAAATCTTTGTAAAGATTAAATAGAGTGATGTTGCAAAGTTCCATATTACTATGACTGTTTCTACTACACAATTTTATTAGTATGCTATGTCTTACAAAATTAAAATGTAATTGTGGGAAAAAGTGAAGTAAATTTTATGATGGAATATTCTTGTTTTAATTGTGTCTATGTGTCAATGCACAATGGGTTTCCCAGTCAATCGTGTATTAGTGAGGTTCTATTGTAGGGTCTGGGTTTGATTTTAATCACAGCAGTGCATCTTGTATAGATTACTGTATTAGGCCAAACACATTCTGTGCAGGAGTAGACTGAATACCTGTATGTGCGATTCCTCTGATTCACAGAAGCTGTTCTAACAGGGCTCTGTTGCGAGGGAGCCATATTACGTGTTGGGCTAGGTACATAGTCATTTGGTACCACTGGAGGACGCACAGGCTCCAGTGTGCGATAGGGAGAGTGACGCCTGGACAAAAAAAGCAATATGCACAGAAGCAAATTTAGTCAGAATATAGCGCAGCCACAGATCTTTTACCAGTGTAAAATTATATAGTTACGTGTAGCAAAATCTAAGGGACTCAAAAAATCGTTTTTCCACACGTCTGCAATACCCAATTTATGACCAGGGAGTGGAGGATGGGATTTCTGCTCTCCATTTCCCAAACCCTTTTCCTATGCAGGAATTTTCTGTTTTGCATATTTTATTGATCTGAATCGAGCAGTTGAGGAGTCAGTTTGCCTTTCCACTACTAAATCAGAGTAGTTTGCATACATGTAAATATCTTATTTTGAATTTAACACAATAAGCTCTGTTTCAGGACCAGCCATTACATGAACATAAGAACGGCCATACTGGGTCAGACCAATGTCCATCTTGCCCAGTATCCTGTCTTCCGACAGTGGCCAATACCAGGGGCCCCAGAGGGAATGAACAGAATAGGTAATCATCAAGTGATCCATCCCATCGCCCATTCTCAGCTTCTGGCAAACAGAGGCCCAACTCTGCCCATCCTGGCTAATAGCCATTGATGGACCTATACTCCATGAATTTATCTAGTTCTTTTTTGAACCCTGTTATAGTTTTGGCCTTCACAACATCCTCTGGCAAGGAGTTCCACAGGTTGACTGTGCATTGTGTGAAAAAATACTTCCTTTTGTTTATTTTAAACCTGCTGCCTATTAATTTCATTTGGTGGCCCCTAGTTCTTGTGTTATGAGAAGTAATAAATAACACTTCTTTATTTACTTTCTCCACACCAGTCATGATTTTATAGACCTCAATCATATCCCCTCTAAGTCGTCTCTTTTCCAAGCTGAGAAGTCCCAGTCTTATTAATCTCTCCTTATATAGCAGCCATTCCATACCCCTAATCATTTTTATTGCCCTTTTCTGAACCTTTTCCAAGTCCAATATATCTTTTTTGAGATGGGGTGACCACATCTGCACACAGTATTCACGATGTGGGTGTACCATGGATTTATATAGAGGCAGTATGATATTTTCTGTTTTATTATCGATCCCTTTCTTAATGATGCCCAACATTCTGTTCACTTTTTTGATTGCTGCTCACATTGAGTGGATGTTTTCAGAGAACTATCCACAATGACTCCAAGATCCCTTTTTTGAGTGGTAACAGCCAATTCAGACCCCCTCATTTTATATGTATAGTTGGGATTATGTTTTCCAATGTGCATTACTTTGCATTTATCAACATTGAATTTTATCTGCCATTTTGTTGCCCAGTCACTCAGTTTTGAGAGATCATTTTGTAGCTTTTTGCAGTCTGCCTGGGACTTAACTATCTTGAGTAGTTTTGTATCATCTGCAAATTTTGCCACCTCACTGTTTACCCATTTTTCCAAATCATTTTTGAATATGTTAAATAGGACTGGGCCCAGTACAGACCCCTGGGGGAGACCACTATTTACCTCTCTCCATTTATTCCTAACCTTTATTTCCTATCTTTTAACCAGTTACCAATCCATGAGAGAGAACCTTCCCTCTTATCCCAAGACTGCTTACTTTGCTTAAGAGCCTTTGGTGAGGGACCTTGTCAAAGGCTTTTTGAAAATCTAAATACACTATATCCACCTTGTCCACATGCTTGTTGACTCCCTCAAAGAATTCTAGTAGATTGGTAAGGCACGATTTCCCTTTACTAAAACCATGTTGACTATTCCCCAACAGATTATGTTCATCTATGTGTCTGACAATTTTGTTCTTTACTATAGTTTCAACCAGTTTGCCCGGTACTGAAGCCAGGCTTACTGGCCTGTAATTGCTACGGTCTCCTCTGGAGCCCTTTTTAAAAATTGGCGTCACATTAGCTATCCTCCAGTCATTTGGTACAGAAGCTGATTTAAATGATAGGTTACAGACGACAGTTAGTAGTCCTGCAATTTCACCTTTAAGTTCCTTCAGAACTCTTGGGTGAATACCATCTGGTCCTGGGGACTTATTACTGTTTAGTTTATCAATTTGTTCCAAACCTCCTCTAATGACACCTCAGTCTGGGACAGTTCCTCAGATTTGTCACCTAAAAAGAATGGCTCAGATTTGGGAATCTCCCTCACATCCTCAACCTTGAGTGCTCCTTTAGCATCTCAATCGTTCAGTGGCCCCACTGGTTGTTTAGCAGGCTTCCTGCTTCTGATGTACTTAGAAATTTTTTTTTTTATTCCTTTTGAGTCTTTGGCTAGCTGTTCTTCAAATTCTTTTTTGGCCTTCCTAATTATATTTTTACATTTCATTTGCCAGAGTTTATGCTCCTTTCTATTTTCCTCATTAGGATTTAACTTCCACTTTTTAAAGGATGCCTTTTTGCCTCTCACTGCTTCTTTTACTTTGTTGTTTAGCCACGGTGGCTCTTTTTCGGTTCTCTGTTTTTTAATTTGGGGTATACATTTAAGTTGAGCCTCTATTATGGTGTCTTTAAAATGTTTCCATGCAGCTTGCAGGGATTTTACTTTTGGTGCTGTACCTTTTAATTTCTGTTTAACTAACCTCCTAATTTTTGTGTAGTTCCCCTTTCTGAAATTAAATGTTACAGTGTTGGGCTGCTGTGGTGTTTTCCCCGCCACAGGGATGTTAAATTTTATTATAGTATGGTCACTATTACCAAGCAGTCCAGCTATATTCACCTCTTGGGACCTGATCCTGTGCTCCACTTAGGACTAAACCAAGAATTGTCTCTCTTGTGGGTTCCAGGACTAGCTGCTCCAAGAAGCAGTCATTTAAGGTGTCAAGAAACTTAATCTCTGCATCCCTTCCTGAGGTGATATGTACCCAGTCAATAAGGTGATAGTTGAAATCCCCAATTATTATTGAGTTTTTTATTTTAATAGCCTCTCTAATCTCCCTGAGCATTTCACAGTCACTATCACCATCCTGGTCAAGTGGTCTGTATCCCTACTGCTATATTCTTCTTATTTAAGCATGGAATTACCATCCATAGAGATTCTACGGTACAGTTTGGTTCATTTAAGATTTTTACTTCATTTGATTCTACGCTTTCTTTCACGTATAGTGCCACCCCACCACCAGCACGACCTGTTCTGTCCTTCCAATATATTTTGTACCCTGTTATTACTGTGTCCCACTGATTATCCTCATTCCACCAAGTTTCTGTGATGCCTATTAGATCAATATACTCATTTAATATGAGGCACTCTAGTTCACCCAACTTATTATTTAGGCTTCTAGCATTGGTATATAAGCACTTTAAAAACCTGTCACTTTTTAGCTGCCTGCCATTACATGATGTAACTGAATGGGACTTTTTTTCATTTGACTGTTTCTCATCAGAGCCTACCTGTATTTTATCTTCCATCCTCTCCTCATTAGGACATAGGGAATCTTCATTTATAGATCCTCCCCTCCGAACAACATGCTCCTCTACACCTGTCGGCTTTCCCCCAGACCTTAGTTTAAAAACTGCTCTACGACCTTTTTAATCTGAAGCGTCAGCAATCTGGTTCCATTTTGGTTTAGGTGGAGCCCATCCTTCCTGTATAGGCTCCCCCTTTCCCAAAAGTTTTCCCAGTTTCTAATAAATCTAAACCCCTCCTCCCTACACCATCGTCTCATCCACACATTTAGACCCCGCAGTTCTGCCTATCTAATTGGCCCTGTGCGTGGAACCGGAAGCATTTCAGAGAATGCTACCATGAACATGCACCACATCAATGCAGTAACTAGAAGGGCTGCTGTTCCTCAGGACATAATTCATAAGGACTCTATCAGGTGAAGAAAATGTAGAATTCAGGTTCATAGCTCCACTGGAAAGCACATTTTACCATTCACAGCATATATGCCCAACCTGTGGCACAGTATGTCAGTTTAGATATTACATTAGCTACTGCAGACAGACAGTACAACCTGTCAGAAAAAACACACCACTAATTCTATCCACCACAGATAATACAAGCCAAAAGAAATCAAAGAAAGGCTTCCTGAATAAAACTTCTAATGACCTTCATTATCTACAGGCAGCAACACATCACCTACAATTTAAGATGTGGTCAGTATAAAGGATGGTGGTAAAACTTCTCCAAGTCTCACAGCCCATCTTTAGATAGTGGACAAGAAGCAAGAATAAGGAAGATGTTTAAAATTTTTGCCATGGTAGAAATGTAGGTGTTCAGATGTTTATGAATATCTCTTCCCCATCTACTCTCTACAAAAATATTAAGTCTACAGTAATTGTACTCACCCAATAGTTCCTTTTCCTGACATTGGTGGGCTGGGTGGTTTCTGGGTAGGTGGAGTAGTACGAGGCAGCCCACCCATCTTCATATTCTGTGTACTAACCTGCATGAAAGAACGGAGGAAAAAAACAGCCTTTACTATACTCAGACTTTAGGCAATAAGATAGCAAGATTCCTTGAAAATTCATTCTATAGTACTAAAGAGGCAGGGGAAGGTTTAAACTGAAAAAAACTGAGAGGCCATGCATTTCATATGCAACTTCTACTCTGCTAGAGGTCAACAGTTGCACTCAAAGGACTCTTCGTTATATGGGGTTTGCAAAGATTTGTATATAGAAACTGCATTTGCCTTTAGGCCATCACATGAATATTAAATCTCTGCTGATGTTGATCTGTATTTAATACAATTAAAAATCTCTTTGAGCAGGGCGACGAAGTAGTTTTCGGGTTTTTTTGTTTTGTTTATTTGTTTAAGATAAAAGGCAGTTATTTCTGGTTGCACTGTTTAATGTTAATTGCCCCATATTTTTTGAGAATAGACTTTAAAAAAACTAGAGGATTAAGTAGGGTTACATACTAGGCCACAATACAGTAATTAATATAACTAAAGAGCAGCTAAACTTTAGTAAAGTTATTTTTATATTCAAGGTATGCTCCAGTAGAACTAATCTCTCTCATTTTAAGATTTAATATAAAATGCTTTAAACAAGAATGCTATATATTGTAATGTTTTCACATTAAGATACCAAAACTATTTAATGAACATAAACTACATATACAAAACATGCAACCAAACTAAATTTATAACAGTCTAAGCTAAACTAAATCTCTAGTTTGTGGAATAGGAAAAAAGAAATCATGAATACTACTGATGTGATCTTTCCAGTTTTCTTCCTTAGAAAATAGTGAGACAATCAGAAACTACAAATTCAAGTTAATATTTCACTATTTAAGTCATCAGCATCAATGCTGACTGATCTCAGTGCTGACCAACAACATAATTACTACTTACATCATGAATTATAAACATCAAAACATTTTGTTTTTGATGTATTCACCAAGCCAATTAATAGCTCTCTGGCTGCATACAAAAGGTAGATACAGCAGAGAATTTATACACATATATTTAGGGAGGATCTATAAAATATCTTTTTAATCTATGAGCCCTAAATCTATTCCCCATCATATAAATAATGTCAAAAGATTCGTGCTAAATAATTTAGGGTTTTAATTGTTTTTATGTTGGTTATTTCCCGTTATTAAATACTCTTTAGACTCTCCTTTTCTGATACCCATGCCATGCTCTATTGCACACAGCTACAATGTATATCATTTCCAACATGTATTGTTTCCAAATAACATGACATATTTCCAGAAAGTAAGTCCCCCTATTTATAGAAAAGGCTCCGTGATCAAGTTGTTAGTGATGTTTAGAAATATTCTGAGAGGCAAATTACACCCTTTTAATCGCTCCAAAAGCCAAGCAGTGTTTATTTGTGTTGCCGTTTAAATGACGGAGATTATTTAAGGATTAATATATTGCAGTATCCTGACACACTGAAACTTGACTCCTATATAGAAGGTGAAAACAGAAGATGGAAATCTCAAAGCTATGCTGCTTTTAGCTTGCCAGGAAGGGGCGGGGGGGGAAGTTTAGAGAAGTGACTATTGAGATTTTTAGAATTTTTGAGACAGTAAAAGTCTCAAATGTTCTGATTAGTTTTACAAACATATCTTGCAAATAGTATCATAAAGTCCTTTAAGCCAACTTTAAGCAACATGAAAACTAAAGTTACTTTAAGTGAAGGGCTAGGTAAGCACTGAACTACATCAATTTGAGGGGGAGAGGGAAAGTGTATAATGAAAGGAAAGTGCATTTTATTCCATACACAGAACATGGAAAACACATCCCAAAAGCTGGTTGTTTTTTTTTAAAGTTGCAGAATCTCCTTCATCTCCTTTCATCAAACTTGTCGGTATCACCCACTTACCTGTCATAGCTGTTTAAAACAAACATCCTTTATTAATGTTAACCCCTAGGTCACTTCTTATGCAGAGGACGTCAATGGCACATTAAGATCTATGAGTAGGATTTTCAAAAGTCTTCAGATGGGAACAGAGTTAGACTAGTGGGAGCACTTTCGAAAATTCCATCCTAGATATTTCAAACCTCCCATAAGTGTCTGTCACTCGGGGACACAAACTGCATCATAACCACTACCTATAGGATTACACTTAAACTATATGATTAAATCTACTTTAACATACCCCTCAAAGTTTAAAGAAGAAACTACATTACTGTTATTAGTAATACTACTACAATAGTAATCGGAACTGCAATAATATATTCGGCTCCCATTATACTAGGAGTTGTACAAACAAACAGAGATTATAGTCCCAGCCCCAGAGAGTTGGAGTGGGAGTAGTTGGAGGATAAAGTAAAGTAAAGTGAACAGTGTAGCAGACAATTGCAAGTCATGCTTGCGGTTTGCCTCACCAATGTAGAACTCCAGTGATTGCCAATATCTTTTACATAAGATGGACAAGAAACAGCTTTAGAAAACGTAACTAAAAACAGTACAAAAATCTCTTTGTTAACTAGGAATTTAAACAGTGAAAAAGAAAGGAGACATTCTTTAAAAAGACTAAAATTAAAGGAGGGTAATGCATGATTAAATTTAGATTCCCCCATGTGATGACTTTGAAGTTGTAATGTTGAAAGAGAGCAAGTAATCAAAGTTTACAGAGCTGTTTTACAAATCTGAAAGGGTTGACTGATTTAAGTTTAGCTATTGTCAGTTACGCAGCTCTGTTTGAACAGTCTCCACTTTGACTTAAGGCCAAATAATCAAGAAAAGCAATGAGAAATATACAGCTATTTCAACAGTTCTGATTAACATTGACTGACCTTCACTGCTAGAACAATACCATACAACATACAGAGAAAGCTTTCCGATTATCTTGGATGAGGAGAAATGGAGAGAGAGATAGCGTTAGGATAAAATAGGAAATTGCATCAGTAACTTTAGCTGAGATGCAAGTCAGTTCATCTCTAACCCCCCCAACCCAAGAAAGATGCAATTTTCAAGTCCCTCTTCACCGTCTATGTAAGGATTTCTAGTACCAGAAATAGAGGGGAAATATTCATTCCCCCATTACTGGGAAAATGTTCAAACATCTGCAGTTAGATCCACTTTGTATACCCTTTCTATATGTGCACACACATGCATGTCATACACAGATATCTTCCTACACTAATCCTCAACTCTGGAAATGTAAAGGAGTGACCCTAAAGAATTTTTTTTTTTTTTTAAATAAGCAGCAAGTGAATGGAACATTACTCTTGCATTCACTGCCAGATTTTTAAGTTTGTCCAGTATACTTAATTTCTAGAATAACTCTGCTTGCTAAGAGGTTCTGATTTTATTTCCTAATTAAGTTCCTCCTAAAATGTAAGGTGTTCATGCGCCAAGTAATTGAAGAGAGGACCAAATTGTTGCACTCTAATTACTGCGTATAAAGATGAGTTTAGGTTTCCCACCCAGACTATTTCAGGAATGAATAAATGGATGTAAGTACTGTCAGACTGTTCAGTGATTTATTAGGCTGTAACTCCCCACTCTCATTGCAAAAAAGGAAGCAACTTAATTCTTTCTATATTAGGCACTTGAAAAGATTTTGAAAAGTAGCATGCTGCATTGTCTTCTAGTGCCCCATGAACTACAATAACCATGAAAAGTAGCATGCTGCATTGTCTTCTAGTGCTCATAAACTACAATAACCACAAATACTTCTATGGTGTTTGATTCCTGGATCTACTTGTGACTAAGAAAAAATGACAGGAGATACTGACGAGATAACTGAATCTAAGGCCTTGATTCAAGGACAGGATGGATTTAATTCATGGTCAGAACAAGTCTGGAGATCGTGCAACACTTGTCACTAGAGGCCCCCAAACTGGTGGAAGGCAAGGTGAAGAACACACAAAACTGCAAATATTTAAAAGTGAACTGCACAGGAAATAAAATTACTTGCACATATTTGTTTTATGAAGTATAAAGGCAGCTCAAAAGGTGTGTTTTCAAAGGTTTTCCCCCTGTTTTTCTAATGCAAAATAAAAAAAGGAGGGGCAGGAAACTCCTTTCAGAAGTTCAGGCTGCCTTCTTTATGAATCACAAAAAAAAGAAAAAAATAGGTGAACACTCATTTTTTCCTTTGCAGGCCATCTTGAAAACAATCGCCAAGCCTACCAGCCATTATTTTTTTATCTCCCAAACCTCCCCAAAACCAGCTTTTTTCAATTTTTAACCATGCCTCCCTCTCACACCATAAGCTTTTTCAGCAGGAAAGAGCCTAGGAAAGCTCAACGAACAATTCCATGCTAACTCCCTATCTTTTACAAAGCATCCAATTTTAAGACTTTTCAAGTGAAAGAATCCATCACATCCCAATGGTGAATTACCCTCACCCTTAAAAATCCGTTTTTCCGGTTATTCTATATTTCCAGTTGCTTTACCTCAGCTTCCTGCCACTAGATCTGGTTAGGTCTTTGCTAGATTAAAAGAGCTCTGTGCTATCAGAAATCTTCTCCCTGTAGTCTTATAGACCATAATCAAGCCATCTCAATCTTCACTTTGATACGTGAAATAGATTGAGTCCTTCAGTTTCCCACTGTATGGCAGTGTAAATCTATTACGCAGCAACTGACTTATAGCTGATATGAAACTACTACAATTAGAGTGTTTTTTGTTTGTTTGTTTTTTTTAAACATGACAGCAGCCTTGAATGAACTGCAGAATTGTTCTGATTGAACTATTCAACCTTCAGGAACGATTTCATGGGTAAAAAAGTAGTCCCATGAACAAATATTTTATAGATACATAGATGTATTGTATAGTCTTACTAACACTTAATCACCAGACATGCTACGAGCCCCTGCATTTGCACAGGTGTATTGTGTATTCACATGGCATGTTGGCAACTACTGTCTATAGATCTGAAGCATTAACAACAGGATCTACTTTAAACACCGTGACCCTTTAGCTGCAAATAGCAGTGAACATGTCAATAGAGAACATTTCTTTAAATACAGAATACTCTTCA